GAGAGGTCAGCGGTGGTGAGGCGGTTGAGCGCAAGGGTACCGGAGTACAATGAGGCAGGCGCGGATGACGCAGTCGAAGAGACATGCAGCCCGACGCGACCAGGCTGAGTGATTCAGAATGACGACGGCCGGCGGGGTGGTGGTGGTGATGGCAAGTCCAGAGTATGGTGGTGGGAAATAGATTACTAGGGCGCTAGGACATGGGGCGCTATTGAGGCTGAAGCTATCGGGCGAGTTGCTGTCGATGAGCATTGCTCATCGTCGCAGAGCCAAGCCAGTGCGCGTCGGGTTATCGATAGCTGTCGGGGCCGACATCCTCGTGAACAGGACAGGACATGTACCCACGCGCCGCTATCCTCCCTAGCCTGCACGCTGCCATCCACCCAGCCCGCTAGCTACCCACATTTTTTTCAGGTTGGCTGTTGCCTGGAGTGTTCGACATGGCCGTAGAATTCACATGTGAATATCCTTGAAAGGGCACAGCCGTATTCTTTGTGCCGTCAAAGTCCACACAATACCGTCCGGAGATACTTCGGCTGACATGTCAAGCAGACATGCCGAGTACCAGCCATGGCGAAAAAAGAATAAAGGACGGATGGAACAGACACACATACGTACACTACTACCAGTACTTGGTTGGGACGTCCAAATCTGCACTATTCGCATTTGCAGTTACATCGTGGTTCGCCGTCTCCCTCGACTCAAGCGGCTGCCGAGCTATGACCGCATTCTCGAACCCTGACCTGACCTCACCTGTATCCCCATCGACCCAACTTTCCTCCCGTCAAACCCGCTAACACGCTTCCCACCTTGCCAACTGCTCGTACCTGCACAAAACCCGCGTCTCCAAACACGCCGTAGCTAGCCTCTCTCGCACGTTGTGTAGAGCATCACATAAGCCAGCCCTCCGAGCCCCGGCTCCCATACCCGCCGTCGCACGGCGTTGCAGACGATCATGGCTCAGCCATGGGATTACATAGCAAAGATCGTATCCCTAGGCGACTCCGGATGCGGTAAATCAAGTGTATGCGACGACAAAAACATCGCCAATATGGCTCGCTCTTCCCCAGCGCTGACCGTAATGTAGCTCACAGTCCGGCTGTGCGAAGGCCGCTTCTCACCACACCACGACGTAACCATCGGCGTAGAATTCGGCTCGCGCATAGTCCCCGTCGGCCCCCCAGCCTCATACGCCCTCAACATCAACAACCCCTCAGCCGCGGCCCAAGCACAAGCCCCCGTCTCCCCCGCGAAACAAAAACAAGAACAAAAGCACATGAAGCTGTCGCTCTGGGATACCGCCGGCCAAGAAACATACAAGAGCATTACGCGCAGCTACTTCCGCGGCGCCTCAGGCGCTTTGCTTGTCTTTGATATCTCGCGCAAAAACACCTTCCTCTCCGCAACCTCGTGGCTGCACGACCTCCGTCAAATCGCCGAAGAAGGCATCGTCGTCGTCCTCGTCGGCAACAAATCCGACCTCGCCTCCGAAGCCACCGCAAACAAGCGCCAGGTCTCGCGCGAAGAAGCAGAGGAGTGGTGCAAGGCAAACGGTGTCATGCAGTATGTGGAGACGAGCGCCAAGAGCGGTGAGGGCGTCGAAAGAGCGTTTTTGGAGGTTGCAGAGAGGATATACCAGAATATCGAGGCGGGGAAGTACGATTTGAATGATCGGAGGAGTGGGGTTAAAGGGCCTGGGGGTGGAGGTGCGAGTAGAGGTGGTGTCAATCTTAATGATGCGAGTAAGAAGGGGAAACAGCAGGGTTGGGGGAGTTGTTGTTAAGGGAACTCTCTGGTATTGCATGCAAAAGGGAATTGGGATTGGGAATGGCACTGTTCTGCTTTTTTTTTCTCGCAAACAAGATATCATAATGAGGGATGTTTGAATGTAACATCATGGCATGGTCTACCTCTTCTATTATTATTATTATTATTTTTGGCTCCCTCAAACGGGTTTGAGCATGCCCAACTACGTTAGGGTATCGTATATGTTGTTCAATAGAGAATACCTTGTGCATAATAGCCCTTGGTTTCCACTAACTACTCATACCTTTAGTATTCAAAATATAAACACACACACACTCTCTCTCTAGTCAAAATCCAAACCCCCCCCCCCCACCTCCCCATCTCCACTTTTATGTCATCCATCTCGTGTCCTCCCTTGCCTACTATATACCCTTGCAAACGGGGACGGGGACTCAACGGCAACGCACCGTCAGAACTACCAGTAGGGGCTTGCACGCACAATTGCGTAATTAGCTGCTTGGCTTAGGCGACATGTGGGGAGGGGTGGCAGGTGTCAAAGGCAAAATTCCATGCATGAAGCTTTGTTTAGTGTAGAAGAGAGATTTTTTTTTCCCCAAGTGGGTTTGCGAGTCCCGATCTTTTTTTTTGCCACTGGTGGCTGGGTTAGTGTTGAGCTTATTTCTGTGGCCTGCATGTTGGAGCGGGGAGGGGGGGTTGAGTGGGGAGAAAGAGCACGTCAGTCTGTTTGCCTTAGTCTTGAGGATTTACTACAAGATAAAAAAGTTGTGTTTTTCGTTTGGTAGATGGGGTGAGGTGAGCGAGTTGAATGGCATGAAAAACGGAGGATGAGTAAGCCACGTGAGGTTGGACTTGTGCCAAATAGGCAATGAAGAGATGGAGGAAAACCTAGTACAAGTGGTTGTACAAAGTCTACGATATTTCTGTTTGGGAGAACTGTGGTTTTTGTAGGGAAAACATGGAAGTAATGTACATGTTTTTATGTTTGAGTATGACGGTTGTCGTTCAACGTTCCTTCCCTTCCTGCAAACCAACCAACCAACCAATCAGCCACTACCCGCTCGCCACACTAAACTCTCAGCTTTCCTCAAGGAACATTATTCATGACCTACACAGGACTATTGGGTAGAGCCCTGCGCGAACCATAATAAGGGGCCAGATGCAAGAAGGACCGTCCCGCCAGATAGCGACGGGTCCTATTCACTGGGGCTGTGTGTCGTTCGGCCGCGGTCTGGGTCGGTGGCTTTTTTTTTGGTGCAAGCGAGATGTGTGTGGCGGGTGTGTTGCATGGGCCAAGGGGTTGCGAGGTTGCTATTTTTGAGGTAGGTTTATTGGATTTTTGGATAGAGTTGTTGGGGAGATAAGAGAGTGGTACGTTTGCATGTGATGTAGGACGATGTAAGATTGCTAGATAGTGTTTGAAGGCGCTTGAAGTGCTTGGAGTATTGGGTGTGAGTATTAAGTGAATCAATTCAGCTACAGAGTCGTGGACATGGTTCGGCTTGATGCACCACTAGTACGGCAGTTCAAGTCACTGGAGCAGAGATGCTCAGCCACTTGAATCTGACCACTTTCCCACAATCTGGAACCAAGACGGCGACCAGTTGCTTACTCACTCAGTGCAGATTCCTCTTGTAGCACAGTCTTAGGACCAGAGGAAGAGGCAACTACCAAGTCTATGTCAAGTATGTATGACGAAATTTGCCAGTGAAATCTGCCGACCCCAGAATTCCTCAAGCACTGACCAAAGAGACAATCAGCGTTGACACCGATGGGGGAAAGAGCAAACTCCACCATGGTGGCAACACACGAATAGAGTGCGGGATCTCTTTACCCGTAAACCGCAAATCTCACCATCTCACATATCGAAAACGGGTATATCAAGTGGCCAACTCCACTATCATCGCCTGTAAACACCCATTTAGCCTACAAAATCCCTAGACCGCAGCAGTGGGTCCCGAGAAATCAAGCCTTGCTGCATCTCACGCAAAGATTGCGCTAAAGTTACCCCCCCAGGACGCCTTGTACCTGCACGCACCAAGGTGGAGATCAGCCCTACAAGTGACCCCATTGTTACTAAAAACCTTGGCCCCGGCGAGAAAAGGCTAAGATATATATGGGGCGGGCGGCGGCGGCGAAGCGGTGGGGCAACGTGTTCGCCATTTTCAGATGGGGGCCCGGACAAACTGAGAAGACTATTCACTTTTCTCGCGGAATTCTTACTCGAGATGGCGGGGAAGATGTTGCAGATGGAGGTGAAACTGGCAGTGCAAGGTGTCAGTGTCATGTTTGTTTGCGGAGACAATGGTGTGGAAAGGTAGTCGAGACTGTGACAAAGGACAGTCACTCATGCCTCTTGGATGTAGCACAAGGGCTGTTGCCGCCACATGTTTCCTTCCAATATGGCCCAGAATTAGTTTCTGTATATGTATTTGTCCGCGTTTGATAGCGATCGATGGCAATCTCGGATGTCTCTGTAAGGAAATGGCCACAGTGAGCAGGTGACTGTTGTCGGTAGGATAGCACAATGTAAGTCTCGGATTCCGAAAGCAGGCAGTGACAATGCACCGAGGTGTCCAAGTAGTCTGGGCAATTATGCCGTGGGATAAAGGACAATCTAGTATGTAATAACTCCGATGGGTGCATGCGCATCCAGACAATGCACGTGGGCTTGTGGAAGGCCATGTCTTGGTGGCATCATCTCATCAATGTGCTCAACGAAATAAGGCTGGAGGGCGGGCAAAAAGCCGATTGGGCGTATGGACAGGCAGGCATGTCGCTGTCGCAGTCGCAGCGTGTTCAGTGAGATGATGAGTCGAGGGGATGACCATGACCCGGGGACGCGGGACATGCAGCGGATGCCGGGGTGGGATGCAGTCACGAGGCATGGTGTGCCAAGAGATGTGAATAATGGACAAGGTGTTTTGGGGGCTCGGGTGGAGGAAAAGAAAAAAGGAGTATGGCACGGGCGCAGTCGGATACGGGGGGGGGAATGGGGGGACGCGTAAGTAGTGAGTATTGGAAGCCGTGGGGAAGTCCGCAAAGGCCATTGGGCCGTCTGGGGGTAATTGCACACAGTCTCAAACGGGCATCGTGAAGAGCAGTGTTGGAGGGGTGGATGCGTGGGATGCTTATTGCTTGGTAACCAGAGGCCCTGTGCTTTCCGCGAACCCCAATGTCACGCGTGATGCTGGACACGGGGCGCGTGCGAGTCCAGACGGCGGGTTACAAACAATATGCCGAGACGATTGCGAGCTCCTGCCATGTTCGAAGTGTATTTTCCGGCCCAGTCCCGCTGTTGGTATGGCCGGGGCCAGGGGAGGGAGAATGCGGTGAGGCAGAGGAGGAGCACTGTCGAGCAGGATTGCCCCATGTTGCTTCTTCATCCTGTAGCCGGCCTCAACACATGTACGTACTATTAGCATGCACATACACATGTAGACAAGTGTGTGAAGATGGGTGTAGTGTACTCTGTACTATACCAAGACGTGGCATGGTGTTGCAAGAGTGGATCCCCACGACGGGCCAGTATCAGCGTCCGCTGGCAGCGTGGGGAATGGATCACCATGGCAGCTTATCTGGGGGCCGGGTAAGCATAAGCAAGGCAAGCTCACCGTGCAGGTATTTTGTTTTTGCTTTCTTTCTCGAAGCCGCCAAAAGTGGGATTTGGGGCTTCGAAGGATGGGAAGGATGGGCGCTTGCAAGGCCCCCCTGAAATGGGCCTGTCTCGGCTTGTACCGACTAAGTAGTCCCGGTGGCAATTGACGTGGTAGCGTCATGGAACTGGAGTCGTCTAGAGCAGCGGCCAGATGGCCGGAGGGGCGGTGTCGCCGCCGCTCTCTTTGCCGATCTAATAATGGGTAGGGTGGAGATGGATATGGGTGTGGGCGTGGTGCAGATGCACACGCAGGCCAAGTGCAGCACGACTGGAGCGCCGGCGGGATGATGTGCTGCCCAGCGATACCGCATGAGGCTCAGCTGCAGGGCGCACACGCACGGCGCAGATCCCTTTGGTGGCCGTTTTGGCATTTTTGGCCATGGCATGGCATGGCATTGCACATGCTGCTGCTACTGCTGCCGCTGCTACTGCTGCCGCTGCCCACACGCCCAAGTCGGTGAACGAGTCGCGCTGCCATTTGCCTGCCCTATCTCTCAACGCAATCCCTAGCTGCGTCGGATGCTCTCTGGTGCTTCCGCTTTGAGACGCCCTCTCGTCCCAGCTGCAGCCCATCGACAAGGCCATGCTGCCATGCTGATGCTGCTACTGCTACGCTGAGCCCAGGGCGGCCAGAGCTGTCGTTGTCGCTGTCGCATTGTCGTCGCCGCCCATGCCATTGTGCTGCACGGCATGGCCATGCCAAGCCAGGCCTGGCAATGTGATGCAGGTCAACAAGAGCAACACCACCACCACTACCACCATGGCTGCTGCAGCCACGAGCATGAACGCAGTGCAGTGCAGTGCAGTCAGTACTATTGCTATCCTCGTGTAACCAGCCGTGGACGCGTCGGAACCTCACATTCCCCCACGCTATGCCACGCCACGCGCCTCCCCACGCCAATAAACCCCGTCGTCTAGCTGTGTCCCTATCACCACTACTCTCAACTAAACACTACACTATACACACTAGAGAGCGGCAAGCCACCGCGTCCTGTCAGTTGCATCACATCACTCAACCCACGGCGGGCGTGATTGCACATTCTGCATCGCACAAAATCGCCAGCCAGCATCAGCACTATCCTAGCTCACCGGCCCAATTGTGGCTCCCTTTCACACTCTTCACACCGCGGAGGCGGCAGCTGTAAAAGTCTGAAACTTTTATCCAGTCTAAAAATCGGGGCTCCGTTCCAAGAGACGCGTCAAAGGCCACAAGAAAAAAAAAAGCCTAATCGTCCGGTACCAGCCCGCCAAACTGTTCCTGCGCACCGGTCACCTACCCCCTTGCACGTACCCATCCCAGCTCGCCACCGCCCACCGACACAACACAATCCAAGCCGCAGCACCCGTCCCCCCGTCTCCCCACCCCCCCCTTCCTTTGGCGACTGCCCACGTTTCCCGAAGCACAGGCTATCAGCCTTCGTTTCCCGACTCAGAATCCACCATGTCTAGACCCTCTGAAAAAATAGGGGCCCCTACATACGCTATGGCGACTTTTTTTTTCCTGGCACTATGCTTACGAGACATGTACACTCGAGCCCACAAAAAGGACTGAGCATTCTCTTTATAAGCCATTGACCCTCCGCCTTTGTTCGTTGCCCATCCGTATCTTTTCTTCGTACCTTTTACCTACGTTACTCTTCCACACATAACCATGCCTCCCCAAGTCCCAAGGAACCTCCTGCGAGCAGCCCGCGCTCGGGCTGTCTTCCAGTCCACCAGGCCATGCCACCGCGCCTCTCCCATCAGATTCCAGTCCACTGAGGCTGTTCGGCAAACCCCCTCAGAGGGCAAGCCCATCTACAACGCCCCACCCAGGGAGTTTACTCACCGCAAAGAGGAGAAGATTCCCTCCTCGGCTTCGACACAAGCTCGTCGCGCGGTAGCATCCCCCGTTAAGCTCAACACCCAGAACCTTGCACAGCTCCAGAATGTCTCCATTCCCACCTACAACCGACAAGGTGTTAAGCAGGGAATCGTCCACGTTGGTGTTGGCGGTTTCCACCGAGCCCATCTTGCTGCTTACGTCGACACGCTCCTCGAGCAATTCAACGTACAGGACTGGTCCATCTGCGGTGTTGACCTTCAGCCATTCGCCGCTCCCATGCGCGATGCCCTGAAGCCCCAAGATAACCTTTACACCATCATCGAGCGTGCCGCCGAGGGTAGCAGCGCCCGTGTTTGCGGTGCCATTACCGATTACATGTTTGCTCCTGACAACGCCGAGGCTGTCGTCGCCAAGATGGCCCACCCCGACACCCACATTGTTTCCATGACCGTCACCGAGAGCGGCTACTACATGAATGAGAACACCCACGAGCTCCAGGTCGACCACCCTGATGTTGCCGCCGATTTGGCCGGTGGACAGCCACCTCGCACCGTCTTTGGTTACCTTTACGCCGCCATGGCTCGCCGCCATGCCGCCGGTCTCCGACCTTTCACCGTTCTTTCTTGCGATAACATGCAGAAGAACGGTGACATCAGCCACGACATGCTTGTCTCCTTTGCCCGTCACTTCAACCCCGAGGTTGCCGAGTGGATCGCCAGCAACGGCGCTTTCCCCAACTCCATGGTCGACCGTATCACTCCCCGCACCAACGACGAGGACAAGGTCAGCCTTGCCCAGCAGTTCGGTGTTGAGGATGCTTGGCCAGTAGTTACCGAGCCCTTCCACCAGTGGGTGCTCGAGGACAAGTTTGTTGACGGCCGCCCTCCCTTTGAGAAGGCTGGTGTTCAGATTGTTCCCGATGTCCACAAGGTCGAGGAGTACGAGATGATCAAGCTTCGTCTCCTCAACGGATCCCACTCTGCCATGGGTTACGCCGGCCAGCTCGCTGGCTTCAACTACATCCACGAGGTCATTGGCCACCCAGTGTACCGCCAGTTCATCATCAACATGATGCAGCAGGAGGTTAAGCCTCTTCTCCCCCAGATCCCCGGTGTCAGCGTCGACGACTACTGCACCACCCTCCTCGGTCGTTTCTCCAACCCCACTCTCAAGGACGAGCTTCCCCGTATCTGCCTCGGTGGCAGCGGCAAGATCCCCCAGTTCATCATGCCCAGCATTGCTGAGCAGATCATTGCTGGTGGTCCCCTTCGCCGCCTCACCCTTGTAGCAGCCGCCTGGTTCCGCTACAACAACGGTGTTGACGATGCTGGCAAGGCATTCAAGGTCGACGACCCAATGGCCGAGGAGCTCCAGGCCCACGCTGCACAGGGCCCCATGGCTCAGCTCAACATCAAGAGCTTGTTCGGTGACGATCTCCGCAACGACAAGCGCTTCGTTGCCGAGCTTCAGACTGCTCTCGAGGGTCTCGAGAAGCACGGCGCCATGGCCATGATTGAGAAGTATGCATAAGTGCAAATGATTTTAGAAGGAAAGAAAGAGATACCCATTATCGTCACGAAACTTTTTTATTCTTTTTTACTTTAGAATCCAAGGATCACCAATGGGATTGGGAAAGGGAAAGGGCGGTACTACTTGCAAGGAGTCCAAACACAACATACGAAGAGCGGTGTGTTGTGTGTTTTTCGTGATCAACATCACTTGGGGGCGTTTGTTCATTTTTCTCGTCGAAACCAAAAAAGAAAGTTAGAGCGTTTTTTCCTGCCTGGCATTGCATCTACTTTATTATCTAGCAAGCGATCTTGTTTTTTTTGAGCTTTTCTTCTTTCAAGCACATCAGACATAGAAGACTTTTAATTGAAGAAGATGCAATCTTTTTATTTTGACTTGCAATTGAAAATGTGATCAATGTCCCTTTTTCTTTATAAGAAGAAACAACCTTATCAATGTATACAGGAAGTAAGTAAGATGACGCAATTAAAAATTATCTATAACATGTCTATAGGAATACTGTAGTTCAAGTATTCGGCTAACGTGACTACAGCACTTAAGCGAAGTAGAACTTCGAATACAAAAACATCCTTTTTTAGGTAACTAGCTGCTATGCATACATACCCTTGTCTTCTCGTCACACCACGTGATTTTCGCACTTGATATCTCTTCGTTTTTTCTTACCTAGTTCCGCTATCTTACTCCCACCACCAAGTACACTACTATCAATACAAATATCTCTGTTGCACTTCACCATTACCTAAACCCCGCGAACAAAAGTCACAATTGCATATGGACAGACGTTCGACACAAGAATGTACCTCAACTGTCATTATTCGCGGATTTCTAGATGGGCGTGTGAACAGGCAAGTCCGCCTTATTCACGCGCAGGCTACAAACAGTTATGTCGTCATCGGAATCACTCACGTCCTTCCTCCTCCTCATCCTCCGTCTCTGCTTCCTCTCTCTCTCCCTCTTCCCCTTTACAAACAGACACTTCAATATCCCTGATTCCACCGCCAGCCTCATCTCCTTCTTTCTCACTCTAAGCACACAAACTTACCAATCTATTACGTACAACCGGACGAAACCTGCTTCCATCCCTCCGTCGTGCAAATGTACACGTTGCTAGCAAAGCATGTTATCTGTCTTTGATTATTACTTCCACAGATAAGCTGGCGTTTTGCAAGTTCTTCAGCAGCAGCAGCGGCGGGGGCAGCGGGGTTGGCGGTTGGGGCTGCAAGGATGGATGTGGCGCTTAGGCCGAAGGATAGGAGGGTGAGGAATTGCATTGTTGGATCGGAAAATTATATGGTTGGAGATGAAAGGAGGGGGAGGGGGGGGAGTATATATACACGGGATAAGTGTCCACAACAACGAGTAAGATACCCCGTATATAACAAGCCCACTCTTGTCCTTCGAGAACCGCCAGGTGCCGTAATTGTGAAGTGTGTGGTGGACCCAAAGGTCCGAATCTACCAGTAGCTCGGCCCACAACGTGGGAAATATGCATGGAGTGTCTCCTATAGAAGCACCAAAAGAGGGATTCATCAGTTGTTCAATCCCGTCTGATAAATATATCTAATGCCCATTCGCATGTCTACTCTTATCTCCAACTTCATATATCACTGCGCTTACCTCACCCTTCACCATCGCACTACCTTGTATTCCACTTCATCACCCTACACAGTTCATCCAGTCCCGCCCATTCCCCTGAACGAAGCCAAGGGGATCTGCCCGAAATAGGCCGAGGAAATGGTGATGTAACACAAGAAACAAAAAATCGGCAAACACGCTTTAAGCAAGTACTACGCCCAATCACATACGTTAGAACATGCTGGGATCCGAACCAGCTGTATCATGTCTATTTTGCAATTAGCTTGGAATAAACTAATCTAGATTTGTTAGTATTTTACTAACAAAAAAGATAAAGCCTGTTTTTTCAAACTCTTGTTTAGATTATTGATAAACGTTAAACAGTGTTTGATAAAACTGCTTTTAAGCATCCCAATGAAAGCTTTGTTGGCCTGTCCCTCTCTAGCAGAAAGGCACAAAGATTCGCAGCAAAAAAAAAAGCTTACAGTAAGGGAGATTTCCAAATAGCTGTACGAATAAGCATAGTGTGGGAAGGGGTCATTTTTCGTTGTAGAATAACTGGAGTAAATCTAGCAATCTGCCAGAACTATACCTTAAGTGCGTACGTACGTATACATACACCCCAAAGCAACCTCGAAAGCACAAGCGCCCCTCCCTCTCTTCAAAAAAAAGCCACTGATCCATCCCATGCTTTTACTTTACTACTTACCCTTTCATCTAACCCCATAAACCCAACCAACAGCCCGATATCTCTCTCTCTTTCTCTCTCACATCCCACACTTATATCTTCTTTCCTTCCATCCTTCAGAAAAAAACCAACAACATATCCCAGACTCTGATAACCCCCTAACAAAAAAAAAGACGTCCTACTCTACATTCATACCTACACCCACACCCACAAAGTTACACTTCTCAATTTTTTTTTAATTAAGTAAAGTACACGTACAACCGCAAGCTATTACGTGTACATAGTAAAACATCCTATTAGACCCCCCCCCCCCCCCCTCAAATAAAAAAGAGAGAGAAAGAAACAATCTCGGATCAAAATCTTTTCCTCGTATCCGGTTCTATACAAGGGTCGAGTAGACTAAAATCTTACCATGTACGATATGTGAGCTATATCTGGTATTTGAGCGTGAAGATCTTTATATAAATAAAGGGTTCATTTCTTATTGCATATGTATGTAGTAAGTAAGTAGGTAAAAACTGAGAAGAAAGAAAAAGAAGAAGAAAAAAAATATTTAAAAGGGCTCATAAATAGCTATCCCCCCAATCCCCTTACCTACTTGAGGACTCGTTCAATTTCTACTTGTATTTTCTCGAGACCAAGAAAAACTAGTTAGTTTGGGTAAAGTGGTCTTGGCAAGACCATGCACACCATCATCATAGCCAAGCCTGTTTCACGTATAATCGCATTAATATGTGTACACATGTTATGTTTTGCTTGAATTTACTAAACAAAAGCGTCGTGGAGAATTTTCTTTTCAAAAAAAACTCCGAACTGCTCAAAATTCTAAAAACCCCCTGGTATCATTAACCCCATACACCTCCTTTTTGTTTCGTCGATTACTTCATTTATTTCCAATCATCCAAGTCTACGTTCACCACTAAAAAAGACACCTAACTAAGATATGCTGCCAATGCCTGCTTCGAAGTATCGTCGAGTCGCTCCTGCACAATCTTGACAATGCGACCTCCATGACGCGCGTCTGCGTCCTTGAGATACTGACTGACCCACTGCTTGACATCGGCAATCTCGGGAAATGGGTCACGAGGTGCCTTCTTGCACGTGTTGAGTTGTGTGAAGCCAACACCAAAGCCAAGCTCATCGACGTCAGCATCGGGGATGATATCGTCCGCGGCTGTGGGAACGGGTGGATTGACCAAGAGCTCAATCAATCGCTGAGTCGTAAGTGTCCAACCCTTGGGGTATCGATCGACAAACGCTTGCGAATCACCAAGGGTCTTGGTAAAGGATACCACGGCAGTTTTGCGGTCCGTGGGACGTGCAAGTTTCTGAGTATCGGGCAAGATCACTGTCAAGTAGATGGGCTTGAAAACACTATTGTAAAGTTAGCGGCCGTATCAACATTTTAACAAGTGCACGACTTACTCATGCTGAATCTGGTCAGTGACACTGATGAAGAAATCAGTGCCAAGCCCCTTATCCAGTCGGGCCGAGACAAAGTGGTAAAAGGCAATGAAGCGTTGCTGGAAGTTCTCCGTCTTCATGTTGGACAACCTCGTCAGCATCAGCTGGAGAATAGTGACAAAGTATGGCTGGAGTGCATCGGCTGGGATATTAGCGACGACCGACTCGATGAGCTCGAATGAATAAGTTTCGTGTGCCTTGCTGGTGACAAGCTTTTGGAAAATACCCAGAATGGGTTCCAAATGCTTGTTGGCGACAATGTGTTGGGCATCGCGAGAAACCATGGCGCTGAGGAGACGGGCCAATGCAGGTACGTTACCACGCTGCTCCCAGACGGCACCCTGGATGATGATTGCAAATAGGCTTCTGTAGTATTCGCTGAGCTCGCCAGAGGGGTTCGCTTCGAGCAGTGCAGAGAATATTTGGAAGATGTAGGGAGAGAACTCCTCGACATTAGCCTGCAGACAAGCCGCAAACGGCTCATACAGCTTCTCTTCGAAGAACTGAGGGTGCTTGGGCGCACCAAATCGAACGAGCGCGCCTATGCCCTCAAATAGGTAGTATTGGAAGCGGGGATTGCTGGGATTGTGCCTGATGACTTTGACAATGTTGATGAAGTTCTGGAGAACTGTTTCGCAAATTGGCAAAACGCCATCGCGCACGAAAATGAGCACACGCATAACACACTTCATCAGGAACTCGTTTTCCTGAATCTTCTCAGGGGCAGAGTTCTTGGTGATGAGCTTGAACAAGTGCGCCAGAAGATCCTTGGACGACGCCTCCACGTCAGCCTTGGGAATGATAGGCTGTCGGTTGGCGTCAGTCATGAACAGAGCGCGTTCTACAGCAATAGCCGCATATGTGTGGATGACATAGTTTTCGTCGCCTAGTTGGTTGACGAGCAGCGGGAAGGCAGCACGCCACAGGTCGGGTGATAGCTGGCTGCGGAAGACGTAGAGGAACTTGATGGCATCAACTTTGAGGATTGGTGAGGCACCTTGTGCTTGCAGATCAGCGGCAATATGCGCCTGGAAGAACTCGAGGATGTTGACATTTTCGTTGACGCTCATTACACCCTGGCCAGCGGTCGCGGTACCCTTTGCAGCAATAGCAGTGAAGAGGTAGACTGCAGTGTCCTTAGACTTCCAGTTATTGGCAGTGTCCTTGGCATAGTCCTGGAGATAGGCGTCGATATAGGTCTTGGAGGTGCTCGTGACAAGTCCCTCGAAGCGAGCCATGAGTTGGCGCAAGAAGTTGGTAGCAGCGCGTCTGCGGGTATCGTTGTCTGAGCCCTCAAGATCTCTTCTGATGAACTCAATCGGCTCGTCCTCGAACAATTCGATATCAGACTCGCGCAATGTCAGATTGGGCAGAATGACTTTTTCAATCACCTGGACCAAGACGTCCTGGTTATTAAAGGCGGCGGCGTGTTGTGTCGAGGCCACTGCGGTAAGGAACTGCAGCGCCTTGCTGACTAGAATGTCGTACTTTGTCTCTAGCCCGACAGACATTAAGAAGCTCCAGGTGCTCTCGATGAACTGGCCCAGATGCGGACCGAAAACATCTTCGTACTTTTGGATGTAGAGCATGAGCGCCTCGAAAATACCGGCGCGCACATACTCCTGTGGCCCCGACTCGGTGTCGTCGTCTGTGTGTAGGGAGGGGTTGTCGTAGGTGAGGTACTTGTGGAGAAGTCCTGAGATGACGGTGATGTGGTCTTCAAAGACGGGAGGCAGATCCTGGCATGAAAGATCATAGAAAAGCTTGATCAAGAGATCGAGCGTGGTAAAGGCGTTCTTCAGTGTCTCGGGGTTGCCCTGCGAGTTTGTGATGAGGGCATCGGTGTTTTCGAGCAGTTGGAGGAAGGGTTGGCCGAACTTGGACAGGACGTGATTGATCTCAGTGAAGAGGTCGTCGGAACGGAAGAGGGGCCGCCATCGTTTGAAGATGGAGTGTGCGACTTGAAGTACGCCATTGTTGACGACTGTGTTGTCGGGGGTAAGGCGCGAAATCAGATCGTCGACCAAGGTGTCCCATCTCTGCCAGAAGTCGCTGTCTGCAATGGCGCTGATGGCCTCACCGAGCTGGGCCTGCAGACTTGCTGGCACCGAGACCATGAGGCCTATCAGCTCTCTCTTGATTGCGACGACCTCGTCCTCGGGCAGCTTGTAGTTGCCATCTTCGTCCACCCAATTCCGCTTTATGAAGTTCTTGAAGTAGAGCGCGGCAGCTAACCGTGTAGTCTGCGGGTTGGCGTCCGAGGCGACAATCTGGAGGAGTGTGAGGGAGAAACCGGGCTTGGTCTGTTCCTGGGCAATGGCTGCTTCGGCTGCGAAAAGTTAGTACGGGGGGGGGGGAGGCGATGGAGGGGTGCGGTGAGAGGAAGTGATGCGGTCACACACGGCGTAGTCGTGCATATACATCTATTCTGTATCGTCTACATAGTGCAGACAGTTGAAGCAATGTGCATTGCTTTGGTCGTCCACATGCTTGCACTATGGTAGGGGCAGTGATAAACAAAAGACGGTACTCACCCTGCTTGTTCTGGCGGGGGTCCAGACTGGCCTGGAGGAGTTGTGAGAGAGTAGCCATGTCTGTGGCCATAGTGAAGAGGACGGAACACGGGAGTAGCAAGACACAGGGGGGCGACAAACGGGCGAAGGCGAGGCAAAGGGCGACGAGGAGAAAAAAACACCACGACAAGTGTTTGGCCGTTGGTTGCTGTTTGGGGCCGGCCGCCCACTTTACTGCGCTAGTAGGCGGGAGCTTTGGCGCGCGGAAGAGACAGGGATCAGGTACCCCAGACGATGAAATTCAGCCTGCCGTGGTCTGCTCTGCCATGCCATGACAAGACGCCCTCCCTTCCTCTCTCCTCCGCTCCTCACGCCCCTACGACCCTCTCACACCACCGCCATCCCTTGGCTTCGCCCGCTCTTCACCCCCGCCTCTTCCTTCACTGTCCCCCGCCTCCCCGCTGCCCTCGCTCGCCCGCAACAGCAGATGGGCACCGCCAGCCCCGCCGCCTCGCCTACCAGCCCGGATGATAGCCTCGATGAGTTTGCGCCACTGTCATAGCCCTCTCCTCTGCCTCTGTCTTTTGCTGCAATAGTCGCCTGCCGTCCCGCCAGCCCAGGGACTGCATTCACCATCGCCCCTCTTCCCCACGACGAGCCGAGCCCCTCTCGCGACACCGAGACGCATGTCTCCGCCGTTGGACCATGCCGCCCCAGACCGCCGCTCCTCCACCCAGGCCCTCTTCACGGCTTTTCGCTCTCTCACCGGCGGCCGTCTCAAGAGCCCTACCCCGCCGCCCTCCATCTCTTCGGCCACGAGCACACCTGCGCGCACTCCCTCGCTCGGCACCATCCGCTCCCACTCGCTCTCTAGCCCGCATCCAGCCGACAGTACCCTTCAGCGCATCAGCCAGGTCGCCGGCCAGCGCGCTGTCAGACCCGTGACGGGTGGGCCTCCAGAACTTGACGACCTTGTTGGCCAGCTCGACCGGAGCCACCCGTTTGCGGACAGGGCCGCGGTTGTGGAAAAGATATGCGCCATCCTTCATGAGTACCCCGTGCAGAATGTCCTGGCCCTGTGGTCCGTGGCTAGCGACCTGCTCCTTCCGGAGCAGCCAGACGAGGTCGCTGAAGTGGGCTACAAGCTTCTCAAGGCCTGCGCCTCACTCGCCAACCTGACCAGCATTGAGCGCACCGTCTTCTTCGACGCGGCCTGTTTGCGCAAGACTGATCGCTTTTTCGACAAGAGACTCGAGGTCGTCACCACTCTCACGCACGATGGTCGCGACGTGGAGTCTTGCGAGGCGGGCATCGTCTCTTTTGTCTTGACCTCGCTCGATACCTGTTTCCTAGCCAGCAAAGACGCCTTGAACGCCCAGAGGAGCAAGTCAAATGGAAAGAAGGCGGCTGCAAACCCGCCGCAAGAGGTCGCCAACATGTTCCGCGCATTCCAGTTTGCCATTGACATTTGCAAATTCAACGCCAAGGTCTTCACCGACGACGACCTGGATCTCTTGATCAGAAGGACTGTCGCCATTTGCAAAGCCACATTTTACAGGCCTGACGTCGAGTGTGGAATCAAGCTCTTTGATACCATCATCACATATGTCCACGTGCCCACAAAGTCACTTCATCCTTGCTTACAGGTTCTGAGCGAAATTCACAAGAGGATCCCTGGGTTTCAAGATCAGGCGTGGAATACTCTGAGCAACCTTTTTAAGTCCCATGTTGGCCAGGCTGCGATATCCGTCTTATTGCATATGCTCTTGGATGGCCCTACGCAGGACAACTTACAGGATGCTGAAAAGAAAAGGCTCGACAGCATGTATACAGGCACTACCCTAGTCCTGCGTCTCCTTCTTTTGGAAAATGGCCGCAATGAACTGCCCAAGGTGCCCATGTCGTTGCTTTTTCCTGCGCTGAAAGCATCCATCCAAAGGCCAAATACCGATCAGGAACAAATTATCATCAGTTTGATAGACACCGTTCTCGATCAAGACGGTATGAGAGACTTACTCCTGGCCGAGAGCGACTTGGGAGACTTGCTTGAGGTAATCTGTGTATGTGCTGAGCGTGATGATGACCGCCTTCGCGCCAAAGATGGCAAGACATCAGATACCCTCAGTATTGAGAAGAAAGCCTCCTTTGACAGACAACTGTCTCTCCCCGATGACAACAGATCGAGCAATGGCCGTCCTATGGCCCGACATCGGTTTGCCTCGTACTCACCGCCTATTGGTGGAATGGAGCACGACGACGATGTAGGACCACACGATCAACGCGCGGCATTACAGCACGAGTTTTCGCGACGGGATGCTGCAGATGGCATTTTCAAAGTATTGGCTAAGCTTGATCATCTCAGCGACGCATTTGATTTTGTTCAGCGCGAAGCTACCATGAATCTCTTTTTGCGTCTTGCACATCGCGCGAGCGATGCAACGGCAGAGCGAACCATCCGCTACTTTGCAGACGAACGCTATCTCAACCCCTCAAACGAAGACTGGTTGCATCTTTGCCAATGCCTTGTTACAGGCATCTTCAGCGACTCTACTCGACCACGCTCACTTCGTACCTTGGTCATAAAGGTGCTGCGGGAAACTTACGACACTGTAGAGCTGTTGTGTGAGGGTGATGCCGTGTTTCAATGCCAGGACCTTTTGCTCAACCGACTTGAGCCTGAAGACGATATTGAGGTCTTGCAGGAACTCGTAGACTTTGCCCTATACGTTGCTGATCAAGCATCTTTTGATCGCTTTTCCCATGTGGTCCGTCTCTTGAAGAAACGTCTGGATCGCCCGCAGCCTGCACTACCAGTCCCGTCCGCACCATGGCAACCCCATCCATTTTCCACTAAAGACGACGGTTGTTCCCCGTGCAATGTAATCACTACTGTCTATGTGCGGCTATTTACTCGCAGCGTTATTCATTCAGCACAGAAGACTCGCCTTCTTTACGAACTATTACGGGAGATTGCTGGGAGTGACAAATATGCGCATGATGCGCGCCTGACAGCCCTCAAGCTATTATTCCGTTTGCGTGCCGACGCTCGCTTTGCTCTCATAGTCAACGCTTCATCCGAAGGCCAGAGGATTGCTGCCGAGTTATGCCGCACAGAGGAAACAGCTGTTACTGAACGGAGCGATGAAACTATACCAGGGGACCACGCTCGACCAGAAGACCATCCCTCTTGGAGAGAGAATCGGAAGACCTCTGGAACTAGTCCTCGTTCTTCCCTTAATCGCCACTCTGGGCGCCAGGTTGCCGCTGCGGGTCGCGTATCAAGGCCGATACCACCTCTATGGATGTATCCTGGTCCGAGGGGCCTGCCCGAAGAGCCATCACACGAATCCAGTCGAGTTGTCTTCTCACACATCGATGCTTCAGAGTATCCTCTTAGCGACAATATCTTGGACATGGAAATCACACTGTGGCTCGAATTGATCATCTCCTTGCTTCAAAGACCGCCTGACTGGGAGATATACTCTTATGTCCTCACACATCTTGGTCCCCAGCTCTCTAACCAAGCATTAGTTCGCAGTTGCGTTGTCCAACTTCGAATGCTACGAAATGTTCTTTGTGAACAAGTACGAAATGCAAGCTTCCACGAACCGCCACCCCACACTCTTCTCAAAAAGGCTGATGTGGCGGTTTGCCTGTTTCACGCGTTGACTGTTCTCATCAGTTACCACGAGTACTTCGAAAAGAGCGAGGAGGATGATTTGGTCAAAGCGTTCTTGCAGGGCATTGTACAATGGGACAGAACATCAAAATGGTGTATACACGCACTCTCTGTGTGTTGTTTTGAAATTCCTCTTTCGGTCAGCAAATCTTTGGACAGCATCGTTCAGAAGATGTCGCAGATCATCACGAAGCCAGCTACAGCGATACACATTCTGGAGTTCTTGGTATCCATGGCTCGCCTTCCAGAGCTCTTCAAGAACTTTCGTGAAGACGAGTTCAAGCTCGTCTTTGGGGTATGTTTCCGCTATCTGCAACACATTCGCGATCAACAAGGCCGCACGAATGGAAATCCGACCCAAAACGGCCATCGAACTTTGAGGCACAGTGGTACATCAAGGGACTTTGCAGTAACATCAGATGCTGGCGCGACGAAACCGAGAAGCGTTGAGGATGACCTTCCTCAATACCTGAATTCGCTTGCCTACCATGTCATTACATTCTGGTTCATGGCCTTGAAGATGGAAGATCGGCCAAAACAAATCCCGTGGATCACGAAGAACTTGTACTTCACAGACAGCTCTGGCCGTCCGGTCATGGAAGAACAAGGGCAGGTCATTGTAGATATCATGAACATGGTCGCATACACGGACCGCGATGAGACGACACGTGAAGAATTCTCCGCCAAACCTGGGGATGGCGAGATTTGGAAAAAGACTTGGATCGTGGGCAACAGCATAGTAACAATAGAGACTGCTGCCAGGACCGGCACGTCTCTCGTAACAACGCGCCGACCGGTAAGTTACCCCTCCCCATTGAGCATATCAGAACAGTCTGCTAACTGGTCTTAGTGCGGGACCAGATACATCAAAGTCCGCCCACTGCTTACATCACCCCCACGGCATCAGGTACCCATCACAATTGGTCTTGCTTCCGAAGCATTTTATTCCGACTCTTATGTTGGCATTCTACCAGAAGACATCTTCCAATCTTTCTACGCACCTCTTGACCTCACTAATCCACCAATTCCTCTGCCCGACGATGAGCCAACGCGCCGTGCTATTGCTTCTTTTGACAGGATTGCAACGGTTGACAACTACAAAGTAGGAGTCATTTACATTGGCGAAGGGCAGACAAACGAGCGGGAAATTTTCATGAATGATATCGGATCGCCAGCATACACATCATTCCTCAGTGACCTAGGCACTCTCTGTCGCCTGAAGGGTGCTAAATTCAACACTGGAGGTCTTGACACACGCGAAGACATGGATGGCGAGTTCACGTACTGTTGGCGTGATCGCTGCATGGAACTCGTTTTTCATATCCCAACAATGATGCCTACGAACCGCGACGACGAAATGACTTATCCCAACAAGAAGCGCCATATCGGCAATGACTTCGTCAACATCATCTTTAACGACTCCGGCCTACCCTACAACTTTGATACATTTCCCTCGCAGTTCAATTACGTACATATTGTCATTTCCCCAGAGTCGCGAGCCAGCTTTGTAGACCGCCGGCTGGATGCAGACCCAGAGGGCAGAAACCGCTATTACAAAGTCCAAGCTATTTCGAAACCTGGCTTCCCTGACATATCCCCTGCTGTTGAGACCAAGATTCTTTGCGGCAAATACCTTGCAGACTATTGTCGTCTGATTGCCATTAACGCAGTAGTTTTCTCCAGTGTATGGTTCATTCGAGAAGGAGGCGAATCAAGCTCGTCCTGGCGCAACAGATTGCGCGAGATCAAACGTCTCCGAGAACGATATGGCGCAAACAATGCTCCACCAAGCTATCCGCCACCAATATCGCCCCCGGCAGGCCAAGGCCTCTCAAGCCCACCATCCAGAGAACAGAATCTGGTTTCGCCGTTTCAGCGGCTTAGCATCGCGACCCATGTTACTGATGGCACCAGCCGCAGCTCCATTAGCAGCTCTTCACACGACGTCTGATGTCGCGCACCAAAAGTTGTTTGTTGTTTGGTGTTTCAATCGGCATTGCCAAAAAAATATACCCAGGGATTTTGCTTATCACACACTCACAAAAGTTTTGTTTGGTTCTTTCTTTGCAAGCGGGAGGGTGGAGAGGCTAACTTCCTGTTGATGCATTTGCAATGGCGTTGGCGGAAGTTGGACAACTGCTAGGCGAAAAAAAGTATATCATTGTTAGCGCTTGGGAATCTACGTCAACCAAAAATGGAGACGATGCAGGCAAAGTGGAAAGAAGCTTTTTTTCTCTTGTATCTTTTATTCATATTTGTACGCAGGCTTTAGATGTATATCCCTAGTTGCACGACTTCTCGGCTCAAGTACACAAAGTTACACACTACAAACAACATCCCTACTACCTGTTCTTCCGTCGAATCTGAGGCTGAAAGTCTGTAACTGGACTCTCACCCATCATATACCCGTTGCTCAGCTTGTAGAACTGAGCAATCTGCTCACGATCGGTATCCTGAAGCTTGGGCGGGAAATTGTAACTCATAATCGAGTTGTAGTTGTTCGTCAGGAACTGAATCGCGCCGTCGCCCTCTGGCTGGAGATCCTTGTCATCATCCCCCGTAATGGCGAATTCGTGGCGCAAACCGAGTATATGCCCGATCTCGTGCTGGAAAATGTTCTTGAGGATAGGGATGGCGGATGTGTCAAAGGCGCGTGAGAAGACGACGACGTCCTGGTCAACTTCGTGGGGGAAGAAGGCGCGGGCGAGGATGTTGAGACCCGGTCCCACGGTGGGGTTGGGCTTGTACACGAGGTAGAAGTTTGCAGTGTCCTGGTCTTTGGTCTCGGAGATGGAGACGCCGAGTTCGAGCTCGTTCCATGTATCGGCTGCGTCCTGGAAGGTTTGGGCTGCGGTTTGCGCTTGTTGCGGGGATGTAAAGGTGTCTTCCTGTACGAAGTACTGGAGGACTCTGCCGTCAGTGATGTGAATGTCCCAGCGAGGAACGATGGTTCTGAAGCCGACGACGATGGAGTCGGGCTCGTCTGAGTTTTTGTCGTTGGTTGTCCTGTCTGAGTTGGAGATTGGGGCGGGACCGAAAGAAGGATCTTCTTCTTCCTGCGTGTCGCAGGGATACTTGGTGAGTTCTGAGACGGGAATGAGTTTAGTCTTCGCCATTGGAGGGACGATAGGGTTGGTTCGACCGGAGGTTAGGGCTGCGACTGCACGTTCGTTGATGTCACCACACCAAGGATCAAATTTAAATGCGTCGGCCAGTTTGGCAACTATGAGGAGATTTTTGGGAGGAGTGCTGAATGATGATTCTTGCCTTGCGTTCTGCCTCCCTTATATGCTCTTTCAAATCTTTAATGGCCAAGATCAGGCCCTTGAAGCCTTGTGGTTCGCTCCTCGATTCTGCTTCAGCTTGCTACAAGACACTGCATGCAGTTAGCTTTCCAGCTTTTCAGCCTTCCTGCCTTTCAGCCTTCCAGCCACTCTACAAGGCCATCTACGAAAAGGAACGCTTTAGCGACGCCATAAAACTCAAGATACGAGTTAGGCGAGGGACTACTCTTGATGTGGGATGCCGTCGTACCAGAGCCGCCGGGGGCGAATGTCGGCTTGTCAAAGCCGATGCAAACTGCCGCATCATGCATACATCACCTACATAGCGTCGCCTAAGTTTGATATTTACGATTGGTGCCGTGTGATTCCAAATGTAGTTGATTTGTGTTGTTCAGAAGGACAGGTTATCGGGCCGTCCCGTTTCCTAATACAATGACAATTATAACGCCCATTGATCCGACTGGTCTGGCTGCACCAGATGCCCATTGATCTAGCTGAGCCAGCTGGGGAAGCGGATACTTGGACTAGTTCGAGCAGTTACATTGATGGGCATTTGGTGCAGCCAGCCTCCCAGATCAGCCAGCCCTAGCAAATCAATGGACATCTGATGCAGCCAGATCTGCTGACCTAGCCAAACCAGTCAGATCAATGGGGATTCCGAGCAGCTGAATTAGGCAGCCTAGCCAGATTAGTTTGATCAATAGGCATCTAGGCGGACAGATCAGCCAGCCCAGCTAGATTAGACTAACCAGAACTAGTAGATCTCATTGGTTGGTCTTGTACAGAGACTCAGCGTCCAACTCGGCAATGTTTGGAGGGCTTTGGAGATATACAGGATGAGGCAGACAGCGATGTCGCGTTCAATGCCGATGTGATCGTTGGTATTTAATGGCCAGAGCTGCTGAAAAATGCACGAGAAGTCCTCTGCCTGCTTAACGTCGGCCCTCATATCATCATTTTTTGCTGTTCCCAGGGACCGCGGCGGCGCCGCCGCCGCAGCAAAGATACTCTTCGCGCTCGAAGCCCTAAGAGGGGAAGATAATGATGTGGGCGCCTTCTAATAAGGCCAGGTGGAAGATCCTATGCAATTCGCCATACAAGTCTACCCGTCACGGCGGCCCTGTTGGCGGATGGCACTGAGGAGACCCGTCAATTCTTGGACAGTGTAGAAGCTATCATGGTACTACCACATGTGCAGACGTTCAAGACTTACGAGAATACGCATGATTGAGATTGAGGCAATGTATGTGCGCACGTTTGGGTCCATGTCCAAGGTTCTAAACTGCATCAGTTCCGCAGCCTTGGTCCAGAGTTGCCGCGTCAAAAGGCTCAAAGACAATCGCATTCGTTAGGCAAATTTCTATACGGGCACACGGCAAGCCATCATCGACGCCTCGCGATATGTTAGTATTGCTAATGATGAACTTGAGAAGTCATAAAAGAAGGTCCAGGCACTTTTCCAAAAGATTAAGGACGACTGCAATGCCTTCGAGATAAAGATCAAGTCAATTGACGAGCTGCTTGCGGTCAAGCGAAAAGAACTCAACGACTAATTCACGTGGCGGCCGTGGAGAGGTATGGTGAACCGAATCCGCCTTCGTGAAGCGGTACATCAAAGATGTGAACTTTGAGAAAGTAGTCAAGGGTTGGATCGCTGTGGACGCTGCGTGTGATGTATGGAATGACATGTTTTATGCGCAGGGATATTCGTTGCCTGCAGACTTTGAGCTGGAGTAGGGACCCATAAGATAACTACAGGAGCAAAAGCTTCAAAGATTTTATAAAAGCTTACAAGTCTGTTGATATAAATTCACATTTGGCGTATAATTTTATCCCTTCGCGGTCGTGCGATTTGATCGTGACTGCTGATGGAGAATTCGAACTGCATCCATCCGTGCACATGACTTTCTAGAACATTATTAAGCTTTGAAGATACGCCTACTAGCGGAATCCTTAGAGTAATTTCCTTCCATAGTAAATATAGTCAGAAATATTAGAGTTCGGTAATTCAAGGCTTAGTTTTCGTGGGTTTAGATTTTAACCTTTGAGGGGAATCATTTCCCGTCAGATCCCCCGCTAGGCTAGCTGTCCCTACATCACCCGAAATGTTGAAATGACGAAATCACCTCCAAGGTTTGAGCTCCTTTGACTCTTCACCAACAACATGAGCGCACCAAGCTTGCCGTTCCTATGGCCAACGCTGTTCAGGCCAGCAAAATCGGCACGCACGCATGTCTCTCGAGTAAAAGGAAACGCGCCTCGTACGCGACAAGCACGGCGGCATTTGACCACAACGCCATGTCAATTGGAACAACCCAGCACACAGCGATACGGGAAAGCATATGAGCATGCCAATTCGGGGCAGCAGAAGCCCGCGACCCACGAGACTCAAGAGAAGAGATCGGCGCCTGCTGGAAAGCCTTCCCAAGAACCATCTCCTGGCAAAGAAGAAGTAGAAGACAAAGCGCCAGCAACAACATCTAGCCCATCAACCCACAGCAAGCCCAGCGCCTCTGAAGAAAAACCCATAATAACGCCTCCGCCCGAATCCCTCAAGGTCAGCGATACCAAACCCCTCGACAGCGTCCTCCACATCCCCACAGCCGCCGAAGAAGAATCCCACAAGCCACCCCACCTCAAAACACCCCCCTACGTCCACCACTTCGACACCTATGGCCTGGTGCGCAAACTCTCCCAGTCCTCCTACACCCCCGACCAATCCATCACCATCATGAAAGCCGTACGCCAAACCCTCCTCTCTAACATGGCGCTCGCGCGCGAGGGTCTCGTCAGCAAATCCAACGTCGAAAACGAGACCTATCTCTTCCGCGCCGCGTGCAGCGAGCTCAAGACTGAAATCGGGAATGCGCGAAAGGGGGAGATGGAGCGCATGCGCCAGGAGAGGGGGCAATTGCAACATGAAGTTGATATTCTAGGGCAGAGATTGAGTCAGGAAACGGGGGGTTTGAAGGATGAGCTCAAGGGGCTGTTTGATGATAGGAAGATGGCGGTGAGGATGGAGCAGAGGGCCATGGAGACAAAGGCACGTTTTACTTCCTTCCCATCTTTTGGGAGGAGGAATACAGAGCATGTGACTAACGTAGTTTCAGATCCAAGAACTCAACTACAAAATCACCGTCGCGCTCAATTCGGACGCGCGCTCGGAAGTCGAGGCGCTGCGCTGGGTGCTTACGAGGCGTGCGGCGATTACAATAGGGGTGTCAGCATTCATGTTGTTTGTGGCGCTACGGTATACGAGTTATGTGCAGCATCAGAAGCAAGAAGAGAAGAATAGAAAGCAGAATGCGCCGCCGCCGCATCGGCCGAGTCCGATGGAGGAGTTGGGGAGTGAGCCTGTGAGTCCGACGGCGAGGGATGCGTTGGGAGGAGAGTTGTTGGCTACAGAGGGGGTGTCGCTTGGATAAGTAATGACTTGATACTTTTCATTGCAAGGATTTGTTCTTTGCTTTCAACCTCCAATGGGTCTAACAAACCAGAAGAGAAAGTTTATAGCTTGTGCTTCTTCTCCCCCTTCGCCAACTTCCTAAACTCCTCCTGCGGCACCCCCTTCAAAAACCTCTTCAACCCACCCATCACCTCCTCAACCCCCTGCTTATCCAGCGCCTCCCGCATCGGCTTCTGGATCAACGCCTTAATCTGCACCAGACTCTCCCTGTTCAAGTGATCCCCCAGTCTCTCCTCCACCTCTCCCAGCACCTGTCCCAGAAACCTATCGCTGTATCCTTCGTCCTTCACATTTCCCGCATCGAACGTCTTGGTCACGAAGCCTGTGGCCAGCAGCTCATCATTGGTAATGCGCTTGCTCATTATCAGGGCTTCGTTCGCTTTTGCGAGACCCAGGCGCCGCACGAAGCCAATGGAGGCATTGCCTTCTGTTACGAGGCCGAGGGAGGAGAAGGGTGTGAGGAGGAAGGAGTGTGGAGCGCTGTAGATGAAGTCTGAGAAGCTGATTAGGGCGGCGGAGAGACCGACGGCGGGGCCGTTGAGGGCGGTAATGAGGATTTTGGGGTGGGCGTAGAAGGCGTGGGTTATCTATTTCGTTCAATTAGCTTTGCTCTCGCAATGGCTTTGTAGGGGATTTGAAGGGAGGCCGGGACGTACAAAGAGGTTGTTCGCGACAAAACTTCGGAGATACATGTGTTGCTCATCTAGTGCTGAATCGTCTGTTTGCGAGCCAAAGGCCACATCTGCGCCTGCGCTGAAGAAGCGGCCTTTACCAGTCAGGATGGTTATACAGATGTCGTCGCGGGCTGCGACCTCGTTCATAGCAGAGGCAAGCTGGTAGTAGTCGTTTGCGCCGAGAGCGTTGAGCTTTTTGGGAGCATTGAGCGTGATGATTGCTGTTTTGCCACGATATTCGATCTGGATGGGATTTTCTGAGGCCATTGTGACTTTGAGGCGCGATCGGCGAGGGGACGGAGACAGTGGGTTCTGGAAATAGAGGTGTATGGGTGTAAGATGTTGTGCTGCTCGCGTGGAGATTTGGGATGTGAGGTATGTATTGAGCCGAGGCTCAGAGTGCGGAGAGGATTATCCGGGTAGGACGTTATGTGTTATCCTATTTGAAGAGAGTTTAGAATGCATGTCGGACTTCGGACGTTCCACTTTTCGTGCTGGGTGTGGTGTACACATGGTAAGATGTGAAAAACCACAATGGACGAAGCCCGTGTCTATCCATCGCACGCATGTGAAGCTCTACTGCTAGCTTACCCCAAGTTCCGAGTGGTGGGGACGATGTAGGGCTGAAGATTAGATCGAGCCATTGTGATTTGTCCATTATGAGAGATATCACCGAGTCATCGCCGAGCAGAGATCTGAGATTCTTTGGACGCCATCATCACTCCACCCCAAGCCGCCCGGTTAGTTTCGCCAGACGCCCTGTAAAGCCACGCGCCTTGTCGCAACACCGCAAATATGGCAGGTCCAAATCTCGAGGTCTTCAAGGTACGCCTCTCTTACCCAACGATGGTGTGCGCCGCATCCAAACTCGCCTTTGCTACTATGGCATTCGCTCCACACCACCTCCCGCCGCTCCAATTGGACCCGGATCTATTAAACTGACTCGGTACCTCTAGTTCGGAATGTACATTCTCTTCCCAATCAGTATAATGTACTACTTCGGTACCAATCTTGACGGCAAATTTACGGTTCCTGATTTCTGGCCGAAGCCAGGCCAAACGCACAAGATTCCGTATGACCGCGATGAGATAGCAAAGGAACTGGAGAGGATAAAGGCGAGGAATCTGGAAAACAAGCGCAGGAGAGAGGAGAGGGAGAGACTGAGGGAGATGGGTGGCCAGCCTAGGGAGGAATGAGCGGAATATACCAGAGGGCGATGCTTGCGTACATCGAATGCGTCATGACATGAAGACCGTAGGATGAGAAAAAGGAACAGAGTCGCAACAATATTACAGACCCGATGGAATAAGAAGCACCAGAGTACGAGAAATGGCATGAATGGCGTTGGGATATTATGATGCGCTTGAGGAGATATGTACATGATTGTACAATACTGTACCATACAGGGTTCTAGGTGGATACGAGGAGCACATCAAACGCTCACCTTTCCTCTCAACTCTTCCCAAATTTCCTCTGCTATGCTGCCCTTGGTCCAGTTCATGTATACGCCCTGTACGCCCTGTACCTCCTGCAACTCGTCCAAGAAATTACTCAGCTCTTTTGCTGCGCCCTCGTCATCCAATGTGACCTTGGTATCCTCGTTAGGGTCGTATATGATCTCACTCTCCTCGATTTCGAGACCGACGTCCTTGGATAATTTTTCGGCGGTCTTGTTCGTCATGGCTGGCTCAGTGTACAAGACCACCCGGCCTTCAGCATCCTCATCTACATCCAGTACGCCCGCTTCCAGCGCCGGCTCCAGCACCTCATCTACGGTCACGCCATCTTTCTTCCGAAGTATTATTCGTCCTTTCTTTTCAAACATAAAGGCGACTGTGGAGACGGTACCGCCCGCTTCCTTGACTAGTAAGCGGAGGTCAGCCAGTGCGCGCAGCTTGTTGTCGGTCTGACATTCTATAATAGTGGCAATGGACGGCGGGAGGATGGCTTCAAGGACAAGGGATTCGAGCGCAGTGCCTGTAGCCGAGAGACCCTGCCCGCGTGCAATTGCAGCCTCAATGGAAGCCTTCGGCACGGCCGACTTCTTTGCAGTGGCTATGGCGAGAGCGAGGCGGGGGTTCATATCAGGGTTTGGCCCAGCGAGTTTGACGGCATTGGTGATGTCGCGGGTCATTAGCGACCGTTGCTTAGATTTTCCAGCGTCATTCTTCGCCTTGTCGTGTTTGATAGTAGCCCATTTCCTGTGTTCGAGTCAGAATGGATCCCAATTCTTGTGCATACATCGAGGGCGACCGTACGAGTGGCCTGATAGTAAGGCGGGACTTGTGCTCAAACACCGCACCTGGTCCACTATGCGCACCCTGTACTGCGAAGCATGACGGCAGGGGCAATTGGCCACATTGCTGCTGAAAACTGCAGTTCTTACTGCGCGGCGCAATGGAGCTGACATGTAGGGCAACCGACTCTGGGGAACATGGAGTGTCCATCCGAAAAGTTGGAGATCATCGTCCCTGCCAAGACGGAGGTCCGCAACTCCTACTACATGCACTTGCCAGCGACTCCACAGTCGACATCTGGCATGACGAGCCCCATCAGGGCATGAGCAGCCAGTACCAACAACCTCACTACGGGACACTGGAGGTCTACGCCGGACACACATAGCCATGGCAACGAACGGCCAGGCCGCCGACGAAAGCCCCACCAACCCTGAACTCGATATCAAGAAGCTCCACGCCCTCCCCACCGAGCAGCAGGACCTTTACCTGCTCACCTTCAGTTCTGACCTCGCGCGCCATGTGGCTGCTCTAGACGGCGATGGCGCATCGGCGCACCAGATCTACATCAAGAAGGAGATATTCCAGATTGTCAACCTCGCATCCCCCGCACCCACGCGTGTCATTCGAAATAACCTAGGACGAGCGATTGCAGGCATATTCGAAAAGGGAGACAGGAAACTGCTATTTGAATCCATCAATGATTCAGTAAACATACTCAATGCTGCCGGCAAGAGCGAAAAGGATATCAGAACCAAGCACGCGGCTGCGCATTGCTTGGGCTCTATCTTCGAGGCGGCAGGGGACAGCGCTATCCAGCTGTCGCCGTTGGCAGTAAAGACATTGTTGGGACTTGTCAAGTCTGCGCAGAACCACACTGGTCTCAGGGCAGCGCTTTTCAAGGCCGTCGGAAAGGTGTTCAAAGGGGTCAGCTCCCATGCGGATGAGCTGATTGCAAGAGATGCATGGAAACAGGCTCGCAATGCTGGTAGCGACAAGTCCTATATCGTCCAAACAGCTGCCTGCTACTGTCTGGAGCAGTTGATTCGGTACACACCCTTCTTCGATAACTCGACCGACTTTGATAAGCTACAAAATGTGGTCTGGAAGATTATAGACAGTCCTTCGTCATCTGTGAGACATGCAGTGGCATCGTGCATCAGCGCTGCGCTGGTAAAGAACTACTCGGAGAACGCACCAGTCGACATTCCTATTCTCACGCGGTCAAAGACAGCGAAAAGGAAGAGTAAAAAACCAGGGGATGACGATGGCGACGATGTCATCATGGAGCGCTCTGAATCACCTGCTCCCAAGAAGTCTGCAATGCAGCTTTCTTTCACCATTGAGAGTCTTCTCAAGTTACTTGCAACGCAATACTGTCGGCCACAGGCTGGAAACCGCGCTAGGGCGGGAATTGCGGTATGCTATATCAAGACTATCAAGGGCTTGGGCGAGCACATTATTGAGAGCAAATACTCGGACATTGCGCGAAGCCTGTTTGTTGATGTTCTCAGCAACAACGTCATTGTACAGAACCGCTATCGCACTCTCAGCACACGAAAGTTTGTCGCAGTCATCTTGGAGAGTGTTGTTGGCCGTGGCCTGCTTGGAGAGTCTGGACAACTGCACGCCGTGAGATTTATGGTCAATGACATCCTCAAGGATTACCCTCAGGCGTTGAAGGAGCGCCCAGAGCCTACAAAACAGACCCTGATTGGCGCTCTCAGCACGCTGTCTTCTCTGTTCAACAGTCTTGGATCGGCTACCAACGTAGTCGCAGACTCCTGTCGAGATGCCTTGATCCAAGTCTTGCAGCATCCAAGTTACACTGTTCAAGTGACAGCATCCGCTTGTCTACGCGCTTTCGTTCTTGCTTGTCCTCTTCAGCTACTTCCTGCTGTCACTATATGCATGAACAGCGTCAACAGAGAACTTGGTCTTCTCGCAGGGCCGAGACAGTCGCCAAGGAAATGTGTTGGTCTGGCAAATGGTCTCTCCGCTGTGCTGAGCACATCGACCTCGCAACCACTACATGGTTCCGTGGATGTAAACTCAAGAGTACTCTCGCAAGCCACATCGTTACTGAAGTCGGCCAGCAACTCCGATCTGAGAATCGGTTCTACTCAGATACAAGTCGCCTGGATCCTGATTGGAGGACTGATGACTTTGGGGCCAAATTTTGTCAAGATCCATCTCTCACAATTGCTCTTATTGTGGAAGAATGCACTACCCAAGCCACTCAATAGAGATAACATGGTTCAAAGAAACTACCTGGAGCTCTGCTTCTTGACACATGTCCGAGAATGTGCTCTGGGGTCAATCTTGACCTTCTTGGAGTTCAACAGCCGAATCCTGACACTGGACGTAACGAAGAGGTTGGCTGCAATGCTCCAGAACACGACGTTATTCTTGAATACATTGCCAGCAAAGAAGACGACTGATGATATGTCACAAAGGCTTTCGCCTGCTTTGCAACTTTATGATTTCGATCTGATGGTCCGAAGAAGAGTTCTTCAATGTTACACCAAGCTTGTTGAGCTTAGTCCAGCAAGCAGTACGGAAGTGCTACTACAGACTAACTTGCTGCCTTTTGCGATCGCTTCTTTTGCAGAACCCGACAATTATACTACGAGCTCATTCAGCACTGCCATTGCCAGTGCTGCGGGAACGTTTGAGAGCATCTGGGAGGTGGCTGACAACCATGGTTTTGGTGTCACTGGATTGGTCCGCGGATATGACATCGCACCTCTCCCAGGCGAACAAGAGACTCATACTCACCATCACTGGCTCACCCGGCATGGCCCTGAGGCTATTATCGATCGCACCCTTCTCTCTCCAATCTGTGGAGCCCGCGAACATGACTCGATCTCGCTGTATATCAGGAAGTCGGACGAGTCTTATGAGCTTCCAGATCCGCCAGCTACTGAGGTAGTTAATGCAGCACTTCAATTGTTTGCTATTTGTCTTCCCTTGCAGACTGCTAGGATACAAGAAAGCATCCTGGAGCAGATGACGTCTTTCCTATCTGCAAGCAGTCTGCAAAGGGATATCAACAGAAAGACTGCCATGATGGTCAACATTGCGTATGCGGTTTTGTCTGCACTGAAGGTTGCAGTAAAGGAGACACGCTCAGCTCCTGGGAGTCTCAAAGGAGCAGCGGTTGAGAAGGTCATGCAGGATCTGTTACACGTGAGTATCTCGGCAAATTATCTGTTTCTTTGCTGATCCATTTAGTTATTTATAATCCTGCCCGACCCCTTCATCCGAAACCTTGCAGGAGAGGCGCTAGGTCGCCTGTGCAATAGCTCTGGAAATGCACTCACCACTACTGAAGTCAATTATTTGGTAGACCAAATTGTTGCAAACCGCGAACCAAATGCTCGTTCTGGATATGCCGTTGCCCTTGGGTGCATACACTCCCAGCTTGGTGGGATGGCTGCTGGTTTCCATCTCAAGAACATACTGGGGATACTTACGTCTCTTGGCGATGACCCACATCCAGTTGTACACTTTTGGGCAATGGACAGCCTGTCGCGAGTCGCTGACTCTGCCGGCCTATCGTTCTCAAGCTATGTTACAAGCACGCTTGGCATGCTGGCGCATTGGTACGCTGCAGATACGCACAACGAAGAATCGGCATCTCTTCCATACTCAAACATTGAGATCGATATACCAACCCCTGCTGTTATCGCACGATGTGTTGACAGTACTATCAACGTATTGGGACCAGATCTACAGGATGTCGCCAAAGCAAGAGATTTGATCATGACCCTTGTGGGGCTATTCCAGGGCGATGCTGATGAACTCATTGTCATCGAGAGTCTGCGTTGCCAGGAACACATCTCGCTCTATGCGCCAGGTTACATGGACTTCTCGGGCTATGTCAAGAGTCTACAGCGATCCGTAGAAAGTAGCTCAACACAGATCCGTGATATGGCTATTGACGGCTTGCACAACATCATGAGGCGTAATACAGAAGAGGTTATACGTGCGGCTGAGCCGGGTCTGGAGGATCAGCTGTGGCATGTACTTGACCGCGATCCAGAACATGAGGTTGTGCGAAATATTATTCGCAATTGGCTACATCAGACCGGTCTATCAGACACAGCAACGTGGGTGCAGCGATGCCACTCCGTCCTGACCAAGACGAAAAAGGTGGAAACTCAGGACAAGATTGAGCAGAAACCGAAAGCGGGCGCAGCAGAGATCCAGGATGAGGAAGTTGCAGGCTTTGCATCTGCATCAAATGCGCCAGGTGCTGAGTCGGGAGACGGCGTACAGGTGAGCCAAGAGCTGCTCAAGTGGCAAGTCCGGACATTTGGTATGGACTGTTTAAGCGAGCTTGTTGCGATGGTCAGCAAGGAAGCTGCCTTCCGAGAAGAAGCGCCTTGTGTGATGGCACTGCAGCAAAGGGTAGCTGATGTCGTGCGCATTGCCTTCTCTGCATCTACTGCTGGCGTTGTTCAGCTGCGGATACGCGGTCTCAAGATCATTGACCAAGTCCTCAAGGTATGTACACGTACTAGGCGTGTAGAACGTAGGTTAACCTGTCTTGCAGCTCTTCGGCAAAACGCCTGATCCAGATTTTGCTGAAGTTACCCTACTTGAACAGTACCAGGCCCAGATTGGTTCAGCACTTACGCCGGCCTTTGCAGCAGACTCATCACCCGAACTTGCAGCTGAAGCTGTAAACGTGTGCGCTACATTTATTGCGACTGGTATCGTAACCGACGTGGATCGCATGGGTCGTATTCTCAAGTTGCTCGTCTCAGCACTTGAAAACTTTTCTAGTATGTCTTCTACCCTCCCCTTGTCTCTATGCTTGACTAACACGACTTAGGCGAATCTGAGACTGCATCGATAGGTGATCTCAAAGGGTTGAGCTCAAATGCTCAGGTTATGGTCAAGATGGCAGTTTTCTCGGCTTGGGCCGAGTTGCAAATTGCTAGTGCCGAGCAGACTTACCTCAAAGATGTGCTGAAGCCGCACATTGCTAAGCTAACACCTCTTTGGTTGGCTTCGCTGCGGGAATATGCTCGCCTCAGGTTCGAGCCCGACATCACTTCATCTATGGGTTCTGCGTCGCTCTCTGGTAGTCTTGATACCATATATGCGGCGCTTAACCGCGAGACGTTGTTGAAGTTTTATCAAGATACCTGGCTGAACCTTGTTGATGCAATTGCCAGTCTCATCGACGAGGATAGCGAGTTCGTGTTTGACGCACTTGATGGAAAGACTGAACTGTCCGAATCGGACCCTAACCCAAGAGCTGACCATATCAACTATCGCGACGAGCCCGTTGCTTTCTTCTTTGTGCTCTTCGGTCTTGCATTTGAGGCCCTTGCAGGCCGTCCGGGCGACCTCCAGGCATCAAAGGAGCAGATTCTGGAGATACTTCAGGCCTTGAAAAAGATCTTGCGACCTTCGGTTTCCGGACATGCCATATACCAAGAGGTTGTGTTTTCCGAGACGATGGACATGCTTGATCGGTTAGTACTCACCGAAGGCTTGACCATACAGACAGTCATCGTTCAAATTACACGAAACCTTTGCATTGGACATCCATCTGCAAGGAGAGATCAAGGGTAAGGGACACAAGTCAGGCTGCTCTAAACTCACTAACTCGACATAGAACTACTTCTGCAGACGAACATCTTTCAGAAGACATTGACCAGCTGTTTGAGTTGACCAAGATCATGGTACTAGTACTATCCGGTCTAATACCAGGGCTGGAAGACAGCAAATCTAAAGGTAGGGCTTCTCTTATTGATTGAGAAGAATGATCGCTAATCCGCATCCTTAGCTCGCCACGAAATGAACGAAGAAGCCGTTGCTCTGCTCACAACGGCATTGTCTGCTCTCGTGGATGCTGCACAAGTCTTTCCATCCATTATCAAAGCCGATCTTCATGCTTGTATTCTTCACATCTTCGCATCCATAGTCGGCACTGGGGAATGCCAAGCAACAGTCATCCCGCAAGCGTTGCCAATTTTCAAACGCTTCATCACTAGTCTTGCGCCGGATGCCGAAGCCACGGATGACACTGGCAAGCAGCTGCGTGCGACGCTGGCGCGATTCCTTGCCATTCTCAAACACGCCCAAAAGCGGGAATTTGACGCTGCTCTTGCGTGTGAGAAGAACACCATTCTCACGGCTACTATCTTGTTGAGCTCTGCATCGTCTGCACTCACGCCCAACGATCCGCTCATTCAAGGATTTGTTGATGATCTTTTCGATTGTCTTAATACGGTCACCACCAGCAAGGTAGCTGCTGGGTGTTGTCGTTCCCTCCTTCTCTTGCCCAAAAAGGGCGCTTTTGAGACAAGTCTTGCGAAGCTTCTTCTTCCGCCTACCCTCTCTTTCTTAGCAATGCCTTCAGAGGTAGAAGGCCTCGAGGAGTCCCGCGCAACCCTTGCGCAGACCCTTGTCAGCTTCATCTCAACTCTTCCAGAGCCAGCACAACGGCAAGTCGCTTGCAAGATTATCATTCCTGCCTTGTTATCACGGGCTCAGAATGAACCAAAGGCAACCCAAGAAACAGCGGCAAGGCTGCTTGAAATTGCCGGTGCCGATCAACAGGCGTTTAGGACTGTGGTGACTGGACTGACGCCTGAGCAAAGAAGTTTCATGGAAGGGGTGTTGAAGAGCGGGCAAGGGCCTAGGAGGCAGGAAGTTAATAGGGAGGATGACGGAATGCCCAAGATTGCGCTCAAGATGGATTTTGGGTCGTAGAGTCAAAGATGGGATTAATGTAGGTACGAATTGTATGTTTGTATTATGACATGCTCGGTGGTTATGTGTGGTATGGTACTAGATTAGACGTATGTGACCTGGATGAATCATGATTCCTGAGTTGACTGCTTTCCTAATTGTATGTCAAATGACAGTGGAAACTTGCGTCAGGTTCACCGTGAAAGAATTGAACTTTGATGCCCGTTATCAAGGAGCTAATATGCCCGCTGCAACCCAATCTTCCTTTTCGCAATACTCCTTCAAGCTCATTGTCGGGACATGTACGCCCATCTAAAAATCAATCAATCGTTAGCCGATAACACCAAATCACGTAGCAAAATATTCCATCCTTACCTTTTCCAAATCCCACGTCATCAACGTATCCTTTTGGTTAGCATTATACCCCCAAGTACTCGAGAACTCAAACATTTCCCCAATCTCCTTACCCGCGCCTCCAGGTATCTCCTTGTCGAAATCCTCGACGCTAACTTGCTTGTAACTAGTCTTTACCCCCGTCACCTCACCCCAAGTCTTGATCCAATCTGGCCATGTGCACCATTCGCTCGCAGCCATGACCGTCGAGCCTGGGGGTAACTGCAACATGGCTTGTACAAAAGGACCAACATCCGTCCGCGGGTTGAGATGGGGTATCAACGTATCTGGAGACGTCGGGGACTGCATCTGAACTGAACCGTCGGGCAACTATACGTATATCTCATCATCAGCGAATTCTTCTCCAACCCCTTCCTTCCAACTTTTGCCCTGTATATATACCTGTGATAGAACGGACACGTGACAAACATACCTTCGCAAACCACCTCTCGGGCATATACCTCCAACTGGTATAAAAATACCCGGTATGCAGATAACTCGTCTTGCGCGCCAACTCCTCATATCTCTCTTCCAGGTACCGCGGAAAAACATGCGCCTTACCATCAAAATGCCACAGCTCCTTATACCTGCCCCCACTGGCCTCGCGCGCATTGCACAACGTACTCGCCACAAACCCCACGTCATCCAACCCGCCCACCACCTTCGCCACCGCGTCCACTATGTTCCGCCCTTGCTCCGCTTCCAGCTCGTACGCGTACCGTCCGATGGGCACCCCGAGCTCCGCAGCGCGAGCAGCGTTGCTGGGCGTGAAGAACGGTGTCCAGAAGTCGGTGGCACTGAAGATTAGGTTTGCGCCGGAGAAGGCGCGAGAAAGGGACGAGGGGTCGTGGAGGTCGGCTTGCACCATTTCGATGCCGAGGGAGGAGAGGTGGAGGGAGGTGGGCGAGGTGGGGGATCGGGTTAGGCCGCGGATGCGCCAGGTTGGGGAGGCGAGGAAGGTGTGGGCGACGGAGGAGCCCTGGTTGCCAGTTATGCCGATTATGACGATGAGTTTGGACATTTTTCTTTTTTTTTGGCTGATATGTATCTGGTTCTTTCTTTCTGGTTTTCTGGTTTCTTTTGTTGATGTTATTGTATTTTCGGGTGGTGTTGAGTTTAGGGGCGGAAACGAGGTTGAGATAAACGAAGACGGGTGGAGACGACGGGAAGGATTGAATGCCCCACGTGGGAGTTTTAAGGGCGGGAATGAGCTGTGTACTTTGTGTGACTTTGGTGGGTTGGAATAGTTGTTTTGGAGAGAATTGATTGGTTCATTGGCTGTGTCATCTAGGTTAAAGCTGCTGGTTGTGTATGTGTGTACTTGTATATTATATTTATCTTGAGGTGGCGTGATACACAAGACGGGTTGCCTAAAAAGTCTCAATCTCATACAGAGAACCTATACGATTGCCTTTCTATCACTGTATTGATGCTTGAAAAGGAAAGTTGAGTGCACAATTGCAAAGATAGCTGTACCCATTGGTCTCGTGACTCTCTATGAATTTCTCAAGTCATCATCCTCCGTTCACACCATTCACCCCCTCCTCCCCAGGCACATCAACCAAACTCCCCAACCCCTCCGTCTCCTTCATTCTCTTCTGCCACGGCAACAACTCCTTCGCCGCCTTTACCTCCCCCACCTCCCCCCTTTCCCTCCTCTCCCTCCACTCCTCAATCTCCCTCTGCTCCACAAAATTCCCATGCAACCCCAACCTCAACTTAACCGGCAAATGCACCACAGCCAATGGGCCCTGTTCAAGATTCCTCGCATCGAAAATCATAATATCATTTCTCAGCACATCCAAATGATTCAGCAACGCAATGATGTATCCGTCTCCCTCTTCGAACTCCTTGTCCCCATCCCCGTCTTCCTTGGCCTCTGAAGAGCGACGACGAGGCACAAACACCGGCTCCTGAAACGTACACGTCGGGCCCGCCCAAAACACATCTTTCCTCCCAGTCTCCCACTCATAATGCCCCAGCACATTAAACAGTCCTCCAGCGGGGGGTCCGCATTTTGCCCCATCATACGGTTTGGTGGGATCGATGTTGCACTGCCAAAAGTGATTGTAGCGCTTCGTCAGCACTCTATCGTCTATGCGTGAGAACTCGCCGTTTATACCAAACAATTTGTGTGGTTGGACGCGCGTGTGGGTTGGAGTGGAGGGGTCGAAGATCCAGCGGTAGGTGTCTGAAACGAGTTTGTTGCGTTGCTGCAAGGTGGAGGGAGTGGATGGGGGAGGAGGGTCCGGGGGAAAGAAGAAGAAGACGTTGTCGGAGGCGACGGTTAGGTCGACGATGATTTTGCCTGAAGGGTCTTCGTAGGAGCCGGCTATGTGGCCGTGGAAGCCTGGGGGGTGGTTGTTAGGAGAGGTATATGAGGGGGGAGGGGGGGAAGATAAGTACCGTTGTCGGCACGGAGCCATATGATATCTTCGGGTTTGCCGTTTCGGCGTGGGACGATACCGTACCATTGGTCTTCGTTGGGGTCCCAGGCGAAGTGGTTTCCGCCTTTTTTGAGGCGGTCCACATTGACCTTGATGGGGGTTAAGGGAAGGACTAGGTAGTTTTTTGTGATGGCACAGTCATGAATCATGCCGGAAAAGGGTGCTTTGTACCAGCACTCTTCTGTCTTTTTCCCGTCCTTGTCGATGGTATAGACGACGATGTCGCAGCTAGCGTCGTATCCGTTGCCTCCGGCTTGGTAACCGTAGCAGACCATTTCTCCAGTGTCCGGGTCAAACTTTGGGTGTGCGGTAAACGTGGGGGATTGCACTTGGCCATCAAAGTCGTAGCGGCCGATTGTTTCGAGTGTGACTGGATCCATGGCAAATGGTGGTCCATCTTCCTTCATTGCAAGAAGAACACCCCTCCAAAAGATGACGTTGGTGTTTGAAGCAGTTCGTATGATGCCCTTTACCATCTCATTGTCGGTATAAGGGTTCCTGTACCGACCGAGCAATGCGCGCCGGGCTTTTGTCTCTGCTTTATAACGATCTGTATGTACGTATCGTTGTCGAAAGTCGACATGGCCATTTTCGAATCGAAAGGCAGATACAGAGCCGTCACCGTTGAAGTGTATGTCTTCTTCAAAAAGAGGCGGAAAGCGGTGGTCCGGCTGTATGCGAAAGAAAGTGCCATTGATATCTTTGGGAATCTATAGTTGCTAAGTCCGACTCTCTGTACGTACAAGTACAGCTCTACTTACGGTGCCAGTGGTTTCTAGCTCAAGAATATCTGCCTCAAGTCGTGATGGCTTGTGGAAGCCCTTGAAAAACGGAGTATCTGGAAATTTGACTTCATCGCCATGTTTTTTGCCTTCCTGATAAGCCGCAGGTACTGGACTGGCGAGGGAGAAAATGTGTGCCATAATGTACTATTGCTTTGTTTCATTCAGATACTCGCCAGCACCTTCCCATCTAATATCCAAATCTGAAGACACCATTTCGATTGCAGTTCATCCCAATGGAACCCGATGTCTTGCATCGTTTCGGAATACTGGAAGGAGCGGATGTGGGGTATCTTACCTGCGGGGTAGCTTACTTTGTACAGGTCTCGGCAAGTATGGTGAAGGTCGGAGTGATAAGCCCGGATGATATCAGCAGCGGCATGATGTATGCGAGGAGTATATTTGCTTTGTAGGAGTACTAGCGTACTTTTTCTGTTGATTGCAACGATGCAGTACGTCAAGAGTGTTGAACACATGATATTCGATATTCAACTCAACACCGAGCTAGTCGGCTAAAATCGAGTAATCGGTCTTATGGGTCCCGATGTAATGGTGTATTCGCCAAGTAAAGGCTCACTTCCTGCTTGGGGATAGCGTGACATTCGGTACTTGGCTTCTAAAACATCTACCTACTACTACGTAGGTGCAGGGCGAATAGAATTCACGACCTACTTTGAATGTAAACTGTGTTAAGAATCTGTTATCCAGTGCAGAGGAAGTAACGGAACTACGTACCCCACATATATCGTATACTAAGAAGCATTACTACACTTTCTACTTGTGTGTGCACTGTCTCGTTTACGATGTGAGACAAATACAGCATTTAGTATCCTGCAGTTTTGTAGAAAGAGGCTCAAGGTGATGTCTCCATACATTCAGCTAGTTTAGTGGGCAAAGATGTATGGTGGGGCATTGTCAAACAAATACGGGAGTAGTAAAAATTAATTTGTTCTTCAGTCGAAAAGGCACTACCACTGTAGGGATTGATGCCACCTAAGATTCGCCATGTCAATCTACGGTACACCGTTCACTTCCGACCGAGGTTTGCTAAGTACCAACGGTGGAGTACTTGTCGACGGGTCCTTCCCGTAATGCGGCGCTCTCAAATCGTCGTCTGCAACCTGCTCTCCCGTAATAGGATGAGTGTAGTGAAACGGCACGACACGGGTATCCGGCCAGAGCATTGGATTCTCACACAAAACATCTGGTCCGATGGGATCCTCCGGGAAGGTCGTTTTCGGAAATGGCACGTGGTTCGGTTTGGTGTAGGACCAACCCTTGTCAAACGGTGCATGCCAAAAGGGAAAATACTTGAGTCTGAAGATCTTCCAAACGCCGTCCTCTTTGATGTACTCGTTCTCGTAGATGCCGCCTTCCCACCATTGCACTAGACCGCGAGGGTGCGTGTCCTTGATGCTTTCGTGTGTGCCAGCGGACATCATGCTGCGGAAGCGACCCTTTGCGCGTGTGCCTTGTGCGTTGACGTCGACTATGCCCTGCAATTGAGGGTGATCAAGTAAGAAGCCGTGGACGGGTCCGTTGCGTCCAGCTACAAACATTTTGGCGAAGCGGCCAACGTAGAGGCGCCTGACTCCCGCTTTGCCATCATAGCGGCCCCCAAGGAATTCAACACAGCTGTCGGGATGGTCGGAGAAGAGATCGGTAACCTAATGACATGAGCAATCGAGTCTTGCACATAGTACATGGCTACCCACTTCCTTGTAGAGACATTTGTCGAGATAGTAGCCATATGTGTACTGAAGTTTGCGAATGTCCTCTTGGTCTAAGGCGGGGTCAGCGTCTTGGAGCGTGAGTGATGATTGACTAAGCCGCACCACTCAGCCGCGTCACCTGCGACTGCAGCTTCTCCACCATAGCCTTCAATTGCTCAATTTCGCTAGTCATTATCGTGGCTGCCTGTTGCAGAAACCAGCGTGTCAATGGGATTCAATGTCACGACTATGCTTCACTTTTTAACAGCAATGGTACATGATTTAGTACCAAACGCGGAGCTGTCTTGATCCGTCACCACGACGACCATGAGGAAGATGCCGTGCCATCCCCACGAATAGGATCGGTCAAAGAGTCGGCGTTATGGATGCGAAATGCACGAAAATAGCGGTTATACACTGCCGATTGGACTATTCCTCAAGGAGTTTGCGGAGGATAACGGCAAAGCAACATTGAGGTGGGGTCATGCACCACCTGCAATTCCAGCTTCAGCTTGCTAGCGTTTTTCGACCCAGAAACCTCCACAGTCGCTGATATTTATTGGGCCGTGCTACCGCAATACCAGATATTAGCCTATCAATATCCAGTCGATCTCCTGCAGGATCAAACTAACAAAGACTTGTTGAATACTGTTTGCCTTTGTGAGGTGCAGCGACAGAAGTACAGCCGTAGTAACAGCAGAGCTGCGTCATTATATTTGACAATCCAACATGGGCCTTCCGGAGAAGATTGAGACACGTCTGTTCATCAATGGAGAAGTCAGTCACGGGAAACTGATAGAAGTGAAGACTTGAGCTGACCCTTTCACAGTTTGTTGAATCGTCAAATGGCAAAACATTTGACATTGTTAATCCATCAACGTTGAAGCTTGTAGCCAAAGGTTAGTTCTATCGAACCCCTGAGGGAAGCATGTTGGCTTAAGAAGACTACACACAGTACACGAGGCATCTGAGCAGGACACGGACAATGCTGTAGCAGCAGCGAAAGCCGCTTTCCCCGCATGGTCTGCGCTCTCGCCAGACCAAAGGGGCCAGTATTTCAAGAAACTGGCAGCATTGATCCGAGAGAACAACGATGAGCTAGCGGCGTTGGAAGCAAGTTCGATGGGCCGCCCGGTGGGAGAGTTTTTTGATGCATACGCGGCGGCGGCAAAGTGGGATCGCTATGCGGAAAGCGGATACAATGTGCAAGGTGAGAATGACAGTGCATGACGAAGTTGAGATGCTGATGTGAAGCAGGAACTACCAGTGTTCAGACTCCGGGGTTCATCAACATGACACTACGCCAGCCCTATGGAGTCGTTGCCGCTATTATTCCGTGGAACGTGCCCTTGTATTTCTTAGTGAGCAAGCTTGCTCCAGCTTTGATTGTAGGAAACACAGTCGTTCTAAAGAGCTCCGAGAAGGCACCCTTGACTGTGAGTGATGGGTCGACTGTTCACGTCAAAAGCTAATGGTGAGCGACAGTCTGCAAAAATCGCCGTGCTGGTAAAGCAGGTTGGGTTCCCGCCAGGCGTCATCAACATCATCACTGGATTCGGAAATGTCAGTGGTTCCGTGTTGAGCCACCACATGGACGTCCGAGCTCTGTCATTTACTGGATCGAGTCGGACTGGAAGGATCATCCAAGAAGCAGCGGCAAAGTCTAATCTGAAGCAAGTCTTCCTGGAGCTCGGAGGCAAGTCACCGGCCGTCATTTTCGAAGACGCGGACATGGAGAAGGCAGTCAAGGAGACAGCACACAGCATTCGATGGAATAGCGGGCAGGTGTGCATGGCCAACTCGCGCATCTACGTGCAAAAGTCGGTGGCGGACAAGTACATTGAACTTTTCAAGCAAAACTTTGAGACTGAGACCAAAATGGGAGATCCGCTAGCAGCACCCCAGGAGGGTGTCAACCAGGGCCCGCAGGCAGATGGCGCGCAGTACAAGACAGTGCTGAAATACCTGGAAAGTGGGAAGCAGTCTGGCGGAGAGCTGATCACGGGAGGTGCGCCGTCTGACCGCGAAGGCTACTATATCCAGCCGACCATTTTCAAGAACACGCCCGAGGATGCGCAGATTATGAAGGAAGAGATTTTTGGGCCCGTGGTCAGCATCAATGTCTTCAGCACTGAGGAGGAGGCTCTGGCCAAAGCCAACGCAACAGAGTTTGTCCTCCCCCCCCTGCCTTCTTGGCAACGCTAGGTGAAACCGATGGTGACTAACAATGTTGCAGATTCGGGCTGTATGCGTCGGTGTACACCAAGGACATTGACCGGGCCATGCGCTTTGCAAAGGGACTGGAGGCTGGGACGGTGGGAGTCAATTGCACGTCGCCAGGTGAGTTTTTTTTATATTGATAGGGCGTGCAGCGACATGGATGGACAAAGGTGGTTGCTGACACGAGAAACAGTGACGGGCACCGACATGCCGTTTGGGGGATACAAGTCGTCGGGATCGGGGCGGGAGGGGGAGCCTCTGTACTCGCTCAACAACTTCCTGGAGACGAAGAGCGTGCTGATCAAGATGGGATAGGGTGCATGTGCATGTGCATGTGCATGTGCATGTGCATGTGGGGGCGGGGGGTGGTGGGGAGTGGTAAATGAATAGGGCGAGAGGTAAGTATGTACTTAGAGGCCTTACCTAGTGGAAGGGGGTGGCGGCTGGGCAGGCCAGCCAATCGGCAGGTGGTGCAGGGTGGCTTTGCGGGCGAGAACGAACCAGCGCCGAGCACGCAAACCAATGCACGCGTGAATTGGAACCCTTCTCTTCTGCACCCGTCTCCTCCACTGAAGAGGGCAACATGCTCCGCTGCCTTTCCCTGGACCGCTGCAGGTGTGCCGAATGAGCCCATTGCGTCGCTGCTAGAGCCATTAATAGTGTCATCTGGTCCCGCCGGGCTGCCCCCCCGCTGTCCTCGGAACGATATGGCCGAGTTGGCCGCCCCGCAACCTCCAGCGCCTGCGCCTGCGCCTGCGCCCACGCCCGCCTCGAGCAGAGCACCCAACGGCCATCGCGTGCACAGCAGCTGCGACCGCTGTCGCAGCAGGAAGACAAAGGTACGCACGCGCATACCATGACGAGATTCAATCGACACGACCGCTCCATCCGCCGCCAAGCAGCTAACCGCCGCCCGTGATCCGCAGTGCATCGATCCCAGTACGCCTTTCCACCTCTCTGACTACACACTACCTACTTACTCATCCGCCCATCCACTCCTTCACCCTCACCCTTACCCTTCACTGACACGCCCCCCGTAGTTCCCGGCCCATGTCGCTACTGCGCCCGCACAGGCGCTGTCTGTACCATTGCCACGCCCAGGCGCAAGAGGCCCTACTACCATGTCACCGAAGAGGAGTACCAGTGTGCCATGCGCATTCTTGAGCACTTCTTCCCGGGCCGTGAACTCAATCTCCAGTCCCTCCGCACCATTGCCAAAGCCATCAAAGATGGCTCCTTTCACGCCGACCCTGTCACGCAAACTGACGGCCTCTTCGCCAGCAGCCAGGCCTCGCCCGAAGATGGCGACAGCGTTGACAACGGCGAGGAGCAGGATGTCAACGAGCTGCATGAATCTCTCGGCTGCATGATGAAAGACTCACGCGGCAAGTTTCGTTATGTAGGAGCTCACAGCGAGATTCCCTTCAATGCCGTCGTCGCTACCTTGGGTATGCAGCGGAAGGACCCGTCCATCATTCCTACCCCAAAAGTGGGGGCGTATCCACCGACTCTTCCTGTAGCATCACCCTCTACTGACTCGGGTGCCGAAGAGAGCTACTATCTCCCCAGTCGCCATCTATGTGACATTTACATTTCTCGTTTCCTCGAAGATGTCCACTGCACATACTGGCTCTACCCTGTCGAAACCCTGCTGCGTCGCGTTGACAACACCTATTCCGAGTCAGCCGAGTCTTCGTCCAGCTCGTGGATGTGCTCCCTGTACACCATCTTCGCCATTGGAGCAGCAAACTATGTCGGCAACAATGGCAACTCCCCGCCGCCAGACTGGCCCGCCGCCATGGATGTAAAAACATCAGAGGATTACCTTGCCCTCGCCAAACAGCTCATTCCAATCGTGTACGATGAAGCCGACCTGGACAGCATCCGCGCAATGGCCATTATGGTAAATTCGTCCTGACAATCATTTGTCCTGTCAAAATGTGGCTAACCACTGTCTAGTCCATTGCAATGGAGAATCTTTGCTCGAGAGTTAGCGCCTATCTGTACATGGGCGCCAGTGTGCAAATGGCCTTCTCCCTAGGTCTGCACCGCGACCAGGTCGACGAGTCAGCCACCGCGCTTGACCGGGAGCAGCATCGCCGGATTTGGTGGACTCTGTTTCAGCTCGATCAAGAAATCTCGTCGAGAGGTGGCTGCCCGACCATTGTGGATGAGCGCTTTACCAAGGTTACGACGCCTATGCCATCTGAGCGGGTATGGACATCGTTGTTGATTCTAAATTTCCAGATACTAACGTGTCGCAGGCCGTGTATCCAGGACTGCACACGCCTCTTTCGTGGATGGATACATCGGTTTCCCTCTGTCGCTTGAGGCGCGGAATCATCCAGGACGTCTATATGGAGCGTTCGTCAACCTCGATATCCTTTTCGACAATCTCAAACTCGCTCCTGCTGTTACAGAAATGGTACCGCCAAATGCCAGCACATCTGAAAACTGATGTACCCGCGCCTCCAACGTACAGGCGCGCAATCGCAGCCTTGCATCTACAGCATTGGAGTACCACTATCCTCTTGACACGACCTTTTCTGCTCTATCTGGTCATCAAATATGGCTCACTGGTGTCAAGTAAAAAGATCTGGTTTGAGCGCATGGGAAAAACATGTATCGACGCAGCGCAGAAGAGTGTTGTCATTTTGAAGCAAATGGCCACAGACAACGTGCTTTCTAGCTTGACGGCTTTTGATAGTACCTGCATCTTGCGCTTAGTCATCGTATTCATTCTGGCCTATGTCCACACCAGATTACCACAATACAGCGAGCACATTTGGCAATTGGTGGAGCTGGCCAATGGCATGGAACAGATTGGTTTTACAAAGATGGTATCTGAAGAAACACCCATACGCCTAGCAGATCTAGGAATATCAAAACATGTTCCAACCATCAATGACAATCATCATACGCCAGTTCCTTTGGACGATGCAGCAGTGGCTCAATTGTGGGGCTGGGACTCGTGAGTTTTACCGCTGAAAATTTCTGTCCCTGACTAACACCCGCATAGTAGTTTCATGACTCCGCTGCAGATGCAGCAAAGTTTGGATCTCAACTTTGACGACTCAGGCGCTTTCGACATCAACACCGAGATCCTTGCATTCACCAACCTTGATGAAAACATCATCATTGACCCATCGCGTGCCTATCCGCAATATAGGATGCAATGACATTTTCCTGAGGCAATGACGCATCCCGATACAACAAAAAATTGTACGCCTACCAACTGAGATGCGGGACTGTTTTCTCCATGACTCTATCAGTACCACTTGGCTGGTGCGTATTCTAGTAGATGGACATGAATCAGGACATATGTTCATATCACTATGCACCTCGCCCCCCTCCCTCCCCCCT